GATTGAACACAAATAGGGCCTCTCGAACCATCAAGCTACGACAGTCGAGGAAGCCAACCCCCTTTGTACGCTCTATTGGTAACTTAATCAATAAAGACAAGAAACGTAGTACGCTTTTTCCTTATACGACGACCCCACTTACAAATTAGAAAGGTGTCAATTGCTAGATTACTAAATGACAAAAATAAAAAGCGACGGAATAACAAATTCTCTTCTTCCTTTTTGAGGGGAATTTTCCTATTAGATTTACCGAATTTTCGATACTGCTATACGTTATAATTAAAAAAGAAAAAATGGTTTGTTATAGATACTTATAAAGTTACTCGTAAATTAACTAAGTGCCAATTACTAGTGGCAAAAATTATATATCACAAATATAGATCCACAAATTTGTGTATCGGATTTACTAAAATTATTGATCTAATTATAATTATAATTTATTATAATTATATTAATATATGTTATAATAGAAATATTATAAGAAAAGTGTACTATTACTAACATTTCAAAACATTTGCACTAATCTTACATTAGAAAACAAGAAAAGTTTCTATACAAACGTATATAATACAAGTGTACAAATCAGTACGTGTATAAAATACGAAAATTTCATAATAATATTTTCCTCCAAAATAGAGAAAACCTCTATCAACATCATGCTACGGAATAGGAAAGTGTGTATTATTTCTACTGAACAAAACCGGGGAAACCATTTATCTCAATTTCAACAACACGAGCTATTTCGCTGACGAAGATAATTCCCGAATTCGAAGAAAGCGTGCGCCTTTAGCTTACATAACAGTTAGCGAAATGCAACCGAAGCTTAATCAAACTGGACTAACACGCACGTGCTATGGATGCTATAATGCCGGCAATGTTGGTCAGGTTATCCGAAGCCAAGTAAATTCGTTACCATAAGCAGTTAGAAAGCTTGTTTCACTCAAAGGTTATTTTCCGTTTTTTTTTTATTCACTTTTACATTCAAATTTACTCCGTCTTATCTATCGTAATAAATCGCTGTGCTGATAATAATTTAAGCATCATAATATGATCACACGTGTTGTTCTACGACTCATTATTTTTCTGCCATTTGCAAACATGTAACAAAAAATGTTTTAAGCCGTCGAGGTGTCGAGTGTGCTACAAATGACGACAAAAAATGTCCGAAAACACTTTGTTTTCATAGCGAAATCAGGCTCACCTTAGGCAACATAAATAGGACCATACGTTGTATTTTTTCGTGAAATTGGATCTTGCGACAAATTCCAAAAGCATATTACACGATATTTTTACCAACTCGATATTACGTTTAATACTAGGTAGGTAATGGAAATAATATTTCATTCGTTGATACATTTTAGAATATTACATACGTGTCAGAAAGAGAGAATTACTGGCAGCGTGTAGTGTTATACGCCCAGACACTCTAATAACAGCAAGTCATTCAAACCTCTGCAAAAGAGCAAAATGTTGTATTATGGAAGGCGATATGCAATTTGAACAATTTGCAAGTGTACTGACATTATAAACCTGGTATCGAGTTTATATCATAAAATAAAATATCATGTAGTATGCTTTTTAATTTGCCGTTAAGTTTCCTACACTTTCATAAAGAAAAACAACATATGGTCCTATTTATGTTACCCAAGCTGACCTTGGTTTCGTTCTGAAAATAAAGTATTTTCGGGATTCTTTTTATCGTCATTTGCAGTACACTCGACGCTATTAAAGTACTGTTCAAAACACTTTTTATTACGTGGCGGCAAATGACAGAAAAATAATCGCGTTATAGTGAACACTTGTGTATGTACATAGATTATTACAAAAAGTTATTCGTTTCATAATAATGATATCAACCGTGAAATATCTATAAATATATAAGTTTAAGAAAATTATATTTCCTCAGTATATGTTTAATGAATCTATCAGATAAATTTTCAAGAATATTTTACTGTTTGATATTTGCCATTAATAATCGATGATAGTAGTTGATTTGTGTGACTAGATGGTATTAGGTGGAAAGGGGGAAATAAAACTTTTATTAATATAATACAAATTTTAAACAGTCGAAGTACAAAAATTTATTACATAATTCAATTATTTCCTATATACATATGTTTCATATAAACTATTCTTATAATAAAGATTTATATTTTCCAATGATTTTTGACTACATGGCTGTTAAAGTTTGTTTTTATGCCTTACAACATAAAGCTTCGTGATCAAACGATAGCCAGTATGAATAACAAATATCAGGTCTACATGATTCAACAAAAGTTACGTTTATTTAAACAGTTAATTCAGCTTGCTTTACGTCATATTGTAAAGTACGATATATACTGCTATTAACAGTAATCACGGATCGAAGTTCACTATTCTCTTTTAATTATCTCCTTATGGAAATATGGTAATGTTCTTTTTAATTTGATAGCCTGTATGTTCACTGATCCGTAAAATTAATTGTCAAATTAAGACATTAAAACACTGTTATTAGTTATTCTAAATATGATACGTATCTATCTTTATCATTTTCAAAAGATCATAAATTCAATTTATATCATTCATAATTGCTTGGAAAAAATTAACCATCCTTGACCGATTTGCGATATAGAGGACGCATATAACGCCGTGGGGCTAATTAGCGGTGTAAGCAAATAAATTTTTACGATGAAGGAGTGGTAGTTACGCAGGCTCTCTTCTGTTCTTAATCGATTAGCGGTTAAAGCGTGCGCCAGACCTTCGGCCATAGCAATGTTGGTTTCGCCTGTAACACTGGGGACTCATCGACTCGTCATTTTATTGCTTTGGATCAATTGCGTAGATTGAAGAATCGTGTGTCATTTGGAATTCAACATTCGATTTAATTCAATGAGTTTTACGTTGTTAATTTTTATAGGAAATTGTTTTCTTCCAACTTAATCTTGTTGCAACATTTGGATTCCGTTTTTTACCTCATCATAATTCTTTTTGGTTAAGAAATTTTGCAACTATTTGTAGAAGAACGTACTTTATCCTTTTACTAAAAATATTTGCTTCTCCTAAAATTAAAGATTTTGTTTCCTTTTTTTTTTGTATATATATTTGGAACTTAATTTCTTGAAAGCAATTGTCAATAAAAATTGGAATGTATTACATTGAATAGATGAATCTTGATGTAGTGATTATATTTTAGAAGTCTGAAAAATCTTAACTTCAATAAGAATTGTTAATAAAGATATTTGAATAAAAGACAGTAAATATTGCAGCATGTAAAAAAGAGTTACTCAACCGCATTAACACTTCCATTAGCATCGTAATTATCACTCGTAGTGATAAATGGGTCGAACAGTAGTTTTCAAGTTTCAAACACGTATGATTAATGACATATTTTCAACTTTACTTTTATTGTGAATAACATACAGTATATGAACATAAATCCACCATTATCGGAAACATGTTTTGATATAAAAAATTAAAAAATGGAGAAATAGGAAGTATCTTGAAATCTTCCGAATGTCATCGCCTAAAAAAAGAATTTCTTTCGATCTACCTTATCTTCCCCGGAAAAAAGCACAAAACTTTTATCTCTCCCCGTTTTTTCTCCGCAAGTACGAATATCAATCTACGACAGCCTGATAAGGCCACTCACTTTGCTCCATAAATTTTTAAACACCTCGCGTGTGACTCAGTAAGTCCACAATCATTCTTCCGCAAACGCACAGACTTATACAGGTATTCAACTTTTAACGCTTCTTATATGTTTAAGATTCATGCTGTATACTAATTTTTTACTAGCTATACATTTGTAGACTATCTTTTGTCATTTTTATAATTTGCATATACATGTCCAAATTTGTTTCAATCTAGCTGACATTCAGATGTTTTCAAAATGTTACAAACTTGTATCTTCCGCATAACCCGCTCTCGAGACATATGAACTTACAAATTGAAGCGAGTAATACAAGGAATTAGCTGAATTGACTGCTCGGAACTGACCGAGTGTTTTAGAAACGTTGGAAAACTGCGTATTAAGATTATGACTATGAGAAATTTTCTTTTTGTGTCTCTGCGGTGTACACCGTGCGACGTTAATGCTGGCGACATGTCGAATTTCAACGTTCATATCTCGATAACAGATGGTGCGAAAGACACGAATTGGAAACGTGTTTTGGAAACGTCTCAATGTCAGCTAGCAAGAGCACGTAATAAAAAGACAGTTTCCCGTTAAAAAATTGTAATATGCTTCACAGTACATTTCAAAGTTTGACATGGGTACAGTATATGTCCCCGTTGATTTCATGCAACCTTTGTCTGAAACATTTTTTCGTATCATTCGTATTTTTCCATGTGTTTGAGCGTTCACGGTTAAACATGACTGTATATATATATTTATACTGTATACCTATTTATCTATCTATATATATACATACGATATATAATTGTATATTAAATGCACGCAAGATATAATGTTATAATTCTGTGTTATACATACAACGTTAAATCTATGGTAAATGTCCAAATATTAGGTTGTCCGAAAAGTTTCTTTCGTTTTATAAGAAAATAATAGATGCACAACATTTTTTGTTTTATATTATTTTATAGAATTATGTGTAATCCATTTTGTTCTATTGAAATAAATGTAACAGGAATATAAAACAAAAAATGTTACGCATCCATTATTTTCTTATAAAACGAAAAAAAAAACTTTTCCTACTTACCTAATATTTACCAGTATATGTGATTATCTCCAACCTAATATTTTTAGTAAGTCGCTATATATATTTCACGAAACTAATCTCAAAGTCATTAACGTAAAATCTTTTAAAAACATATGAATTTGCTGGTAGCTAGATGTGATTAAATCATAGAATACAGTATGAGGTGTTAGCTATTATTATCGTTTCGACTAATTGCATGTCCTTTCTGGCGAACATATAACACAACATTGCATCGTGTGCGTATTGCTTTTTCCACTCTCGTTGAGCCTCGGAGGTAGTCGAGTTCTGGAGAGAGGAACGTCGTCAGTTCAGTCAGTCGAGTCAGTTTACTTTGAACCGTCGCGTCGTACAGTGTGGATTTCCTTCGCGTTCTCTCAGTCGACGCGTTATTTATAAACTTCGCCGTCGATTCATCAGGCTTTCTCAAACCGACCGAAAGTATGCGGTGATTTCAGTGGCGCATTTCAGTGTCGCGTTTCAATGATATCGAACCGGTGCCGTAATTCCGTTCTGTTGGTATAAATTAAGAAAATTGTTCCGTTTCACGAGGATCGTTGCTCAACCATGCCATCCAGGCAAGGTAAAAATCCTCTCTGTTGTATACTTACTACCGTCTTCTTGCGTATTAATGTATGTACATACTTTGCTGCGCGTGCGACGGACTATCGTGACGAATGGAAACGTGCAAGATTTAATTAGCGTGTCGTTTATGGGCATATAGGGTGTTTAGCATAGAATTAATTATTTTAACAGTGTTTTTATACTTGATAAAGTGAATATTTGAAAGTTGTATACTTACTATCGTCTTCTTGATGAATGGAAACGTACAAGATTTAATTGAAAAATTCTTTGCGGGTATAAATATATATAGGGTGATCTAAAAATCAGTCCTCCTGATTTTTCAGATAGTTCTGATTTACGGACAAATGAATGTTTTGAACAAAATTTAATCAACTTTCAATCGACTGCAAATTGCAGTATGAAGAACTTTTTAATATTGCAACTTTATAGTCGATTGAAAGTTGATTAACTTTTGTTCCAAACATTCTTTTGTCTATCGATTGGAAGTATTTAAAAAATCGGGGGGGGGGGACTAATTTTTAGAACATCCTGTGTATATAGGGGAGTCCAAATATAGAATTAGTTAGTTTGAGGATGTATTTATACTTGATGAATTGAGTGTTTAAAAGTTGTATATTTACTATCATTTTTTTATACACTGTTGCACATGTGACTTTTGATTTGTGGATCTACAAGACACAGCCGAATAACACGAGAAAGCCGACACGACGTGATTTGTTATGGAAAAATAAGAAAATAACAAAGAATACAAATTTCTCATTTTTGGTTTAGTTTTCGAGAAAATCGAGTTTGAAAACTTGAACATACTTGAACATAGCTAATTACTATGATATGGATATGAGTAAACAATCAATAGGATGTTATTGTAGAAGCGAAAGTAAGTAAAACATATGAAATGCAATTTTTTCGTTTGACGCTTTATTTTCAAGAAAATAGAGTCCGAACATGTTTATATTCGACTTATTTTCACACGTAGAATGACCTCCTGTCGATTATTTAATCCTCTGTAATCCGGAATTAGCCATGTTCGTGTATACTTCATAAATTTTCAAAATCGATTTTCTCATAAACTAACCCGAGAATGAAAAAAGTTTTATTCTATATTTTTTTTTTATTTTCCTACAAGGAATCATGTTCTGCACGCTTTTACATGTTATTCGGCCACATCCTCTATAAGGTGTCCCCACATAGAAATAACTACAGCGATGTATATTTTATATTATGATAAATTTATCGAACGATTCACACGACAGAACAAACACGAACGTAGAAATGCGGAGCATGGCTGTAAAGTGTGCGCACACGGAATGTTCCAAGTATTTACGTATAGGGGAGTGAATCAAGGATACGCTTCGATAACTGGATGCATTGTTATGTGCGCAACATCCTCGCTTATATAGGGTGTTCCAGTAATCCCAGTATAATAGGTAAGGGGATGATACTTAGTTAAGAAAAGATATGTCAAAAATATAGAATAAAATTTGTTCATAAGACGCTTCATTTTTGAGAAAATGGAATTTGAAAATTAATGAAGTACGTGCTTCAGCCCTAGCGATATTTCTTTACATTTGTATTCGTTTGTAAGTGAATTAATATGGAATACGCATACCATGCGTTGCTGAAGGATAATGACGCGTATCAATTCTTCGAAAGCTTGATTCTAAATTCCGGTATAGTGTGCGGATTACGTTCACGCGAGCGAAAATAAAATAGAAAAAGGGGAAATTACACTGTAAGGATGAGGTAGACGCGTCCAGAGACTGCATTTCCTTTGCGAAGGATACAGTTAATTTCGAATGTAGCCTAGTAGAGGAGCATGGCTAGCGGTTTACCATAATTCAACGAGAAAGAAAAACACAGACTCGGATATGCTCCCGGCTTATTTAAAATGCTACCTCCGTTATGGTTGTCGGTCGGTTAGCTTCGTTTTAGAAAGATATTAATTATAGTGCTAATTATTGTAACCGCGTGCAATGCTTATTCGTTATTGTATTTAATCGTGGAAATACGATATTCCATTGGATAATAAAAAAATTGCGATTCCTCTGTGTTTAAGAAAGCACAAAATAAAATTCAAATGTTTATCATTTACAATAAAATCATATATCATACTATTATCTGTACTAATAATAATAGATTACACTAATTATTAAATTAATTATCATGGAATATTTCTAATATGTAGTAGCTTATGTGAAATAATTATAAAAAGAAGTTATCGTCAATCAATCATAAAACAAATATTCCATTGTATCATCATGCATCATACACATTAAAAGGTACTGAAAACACAAGACAACTTAGTATTCATAGATTTTAACAATTCTTTACAAATTAATATCTTAAGAACAAAATTAATCTAAAACTAAAGCGAAAAAGTTAAAGATGTAATTCAAGAATAAAAGTCGTTAGATTTCATAAATTCTATAATTAAGTTTAACTCAAAATCGTCCTTATTCGAATAATTCCCATTAATGAAAAGAGAAACGTAGTGTGCAGAAGGTGAAGAGTGGTAAACAGCCAATTATCCAGGTTTTTGAAATACCTCAAAGTTGCTCGAGTGACAAACACACCGCGTATAAGTTGGTAATTTAAGGAAGTTGTAAAGGGACGAGAAGCTTGGCACGATGAATGCTGCAACACGTTAACCTCCCTGTTTCGTTATTTTCGTATGTTATTACGTGTGCAGACGCGTATTACGGATGCGCTTCGTTACACAGTCGCGCACGCTTGCTCTTCGAATATTCTCCCTTATGCATCTCTTCTTCCTTCCCTCCTCGTCTTTCTTTTTTTCTTTTTCCTTTTTATTGCGAACGCAAGCATCCTTTTCGTTTTATATTAAAGACGGTTTTGATTTAATCAAGATTTGAAGAGTATGAGAGATCGTTAGTTCAAGTAGTACCGAATAATTGTCTAATCAATGGTGCATGAAACTCATTTGATTAAATTTTCTATAATTTAGCAGTAGAACTATCAAAGCGATCGGAGTGAGCAATTTGTAATTTTTCATAGGTATTTAATAGATTTAGAACATCAGTGTTTAATTTCCTGTAGAAACGTTAGAGATATAGATTATCAGTTTCTAGCATTTCATAGAGACTTTATAGGTTATCAATCTCTATTTTTCCATAGAAACGAGATCGAATGTTTCTTTCTGAAACTGTTTGTGAATGATATCGTCCAAGTTCGATTCAGGTCGACATTAGCGGTTAATCAAGCTCTCACGATGCCCTAATACTGATTATTAACCTTGGCTTTTCTCGACTACGAGCTAATTCGATCATCGCTCATGGAATAATCGCTCCCCCTGTACTAGGGATCTGACCCTGTGTATAGGCAGGGTGATGTTAATTACCAATATCTACAGTGACTTTAACAAGCAAAACATAAAAACATAGCCTCCAAACGATTCGACAAATGAATAGAACAGTACCCGTGGTTTCAAAAGAATTTTCGAGTTTTTCTGCGTTATCGCAATTTCGGTTGCAAGCGAAGTTGTAAACGTTTCGTGGCTGACTGATTCACGTAAATTTCGTCGGAGCACCGGTTAAAATGAGATCTCAGCGACGAGGCAACTTGACTGCCTAGAGATGAAACATGGCACTGAAATTTGTCGGAATCTTTACGCCCCGAATATTTCAAGTCTTTTCCTGTGTCACTCCACTCGCTATTCTCATCCATTTTCCAAGCTTTTGTTGGAATTTCAGTTACCCGAAATTTACTTACTACTCGCGATGAAAAGAATTCGGAAAACAAGAAGTGGCTTGACAGAAAATTGGTATAATAAGACATCGAGCTTTATGAAAAATACTATAATATTCTCATTTAACTCGATAAATTCATATTTACTACTGCGATTCTGGGTTATGATACTCTTCATACAAAATTCGCTCATTTTGTTGTCAAACAAATTTCAACAAGAGCCATGCACGTTATTCCATCGATAAAGTTATAAGTTTGAAATAATACATTATTAATGATAAAGGAAAAGGAAGAAGCAATAATCATCTTTACAACAATATTCTTTTTAAAACTTCAATGAACTTTAGACTTCAATTGTAGTGATGCAATTGAGATACGTCACTTTTGATGTAAACCAACGAGAGCAAACATAACGTTGCTACAACGGTACAAGTGTCTTCGTGTTAGTATTTTAATTAGCCGGAAACTTATTTAATACTTACGATGAAAGGAATTTGGAAAACAGGAAATGGCTTGGAAGAAGGAGAAAAAGAGAGAGGGATAATTGTAATAATCATGGCTTCTCTATTCAGCCTCTTGGCCAGCAACTCGTGATTTGTCATACTACGGTGCTTCGAGTAATTAAAGGATCGACTAATTAGATGATCTTATCCTTAGTAGTACTGTATCTTGTTTAAGCTTTTGAGGGCTTTCCAAAGATTACTCGAAAGTAATTCTACGATTGTTTTAGTTGTGTTCAGTTGAACTTCTATAATATGGTTTGCATCAGATAAAGAATTAAATAAAATTTGCTGTAATTACTCTCATTGCAAGTTGCATGAATAAAGCTGAAAAGAATAGACAACGATTGTAAACGAAGACAAAAATTGGCATAGCTACACAAAGTTGCATACATCCTTCAATTCAAGAGGCTGTGTTTCCGAACAAAAGAGCTTTTTGTCAAGACTTGTTTTACCATCGATCCGGACTCAAATCCTTTCTTTTCGTTCAGAACCCTCGTTCGCGATCTATACACATAAACCCTGCCCTGTACTATTTTTATTCGACGATTTCTCTCTCACATCTTTTTACAGTGCATTACTTCCTGTTCCTCTCTTCTTGTTCATAGAACCTTTACGATAAATCAATGAAAAGAAATTTCGCAAGTCATTTAATCATAGATAGTAAATGGTAATAAATATGGAAAACACGAATTGCGTTGGTTTCATGTGAATTTTTTATTCACGCTACGCGGAACACTGATGAATTGTGATTACAATCTTATATTTCTAATGCATATTTTATAATATTTCCGAT